AATGTTAAAGAAATTAATATTTATAATTGGCAATTTAGATAAACACTTTTACTATATTAATTTATGCATATATTAGCTTTATATTGACCTTTATTTGGAAATTATATATGTCTAAGTATGCACGAAAAGAGCAACATTAAAATACAATCAGGTATAACCTAACAGTTGTATTTTTATCAATAAAACAAGTTCGAGTCCTAATGATTATAATTTATTTGGTTCTTATGTAATAGAAAAGGCTACCTCCCATTATATAACTCAAGATCCACATACCTCTCGGAAAAAAAAAAAAAAAAAAACAAGTAGAATGATATGATAACAGGCCTTGCAGCAGTATTAAATCCAACTGAAATCATGAACACCCATCCTGCTATTGTCATGCTGCACATAGAGAGGAAATAGTGTTAACAATTCAGTGAATCACAAGGCTTTTTCTTTCTTTTCTTGAATTAGCTAGCCAGGGAAAAAGATTCAGAAAGTACCAAGACCTACGTACCAAACTGCGAGAGAATCCAAAGCAACCTCAGCATTTTTAAGCAATCCAGCAATCAAGATTAAAATCTGAAAGTACCAAGTCTCCAAACACAGCATTACTGCTGATGCAGAAGACAATTTGAAGAACCTCCAAAGCCCAGTAAAGGCCTGAAGACTAAAACCTTTCCATGTGTTTCTACACTTCTTACTCATTACGATGTAAACAAACTGAGCCACCACTATGATCCACCAAGACAGACTCAAAACAAGGCCTGCACCTAACAAGCCCCAGTTCCATTTGAAGACTGCAAGCCATGTTAGCAGAAGATGCACCAAAAGTGCACCTGCTGATATGTATGCACTGGGTGCGATTATGCTTTGGGCTTGCAAGAATTTTTGAATGGGAAAGTTAGCAGCATAAGCAAAAATTTGAGGGATAAGTCCACAGACAAAAAGTGCACCTGCTGATGCTATGTTGACTGGTTCACCTAGTAAGATCAAGATAGGCTTGGAAAATATATAGATCACCATTAGAGGTAGAGCTGTTGCCATGAGGAGAATTGTTGATCTTTGGAGGTATATGCCTAGCATTTCATATCTATTTCCCCCATATGCTTGGCCACATAGAGTTTCCACCGCACTTCCCATGCCAAGCTGAAAGAAAAAACAAAACTAAAGGATAATTTTCCTCTTCATAGAACCCAATACTTCCACAAAATTTGAAGGGAAAAGAGATATATAAGAGAGGAGGTGTTAGTTACCAGAAAGCCATAAGCAAAAACTTGGATACCATCGTTGCCAAGAGAGACAGCAGCAAGCTCAAGGTTTCCAAGATGACCACAAAAGATCTGAGTAGACATGGAAACAACATTATTGAGCAAGTAAACTATCACTGCTGGAGCTGCGAGGCAGAAAAGCAATTTCAGTTCAACCCAAGAAGCTGAACGGAGTCTCTTGAAGTATGGTGATTGAGTATCTGTTAGAATTTGTTCAAGCTCATTGCTCACTGTCTCATCATGGTGAGAGAGCTTGAAGCTTAATCTCGGAGAATCAGAGTCCATTCTCCTCTTCCTTTCCGCTTGTAACTCGAGCTTAAAGATCAAATAAATGCTTGAGTAAATTATTCTTTTATCCCTAGAGTTTACACACTATGAAAACTGAGTCCCTCGTATTTCAAAATCTGTAATTAGTCTATTGATGTTTCTTGACCGTTATCTTATATATATATATATATATTGGAATGTTTTTTTGAATGAGTTTTTTCATACTTTGTATTAGCTCCTTTCTAATTATGAATGGTGAACAAAATTCATAGATTTGAGTGAGCTGAATAATTGTCTCTTTTCCATTCAGAATTCAATACGAAAAGCACATCCCAAAAAGCGAATGACGCAGCTTAATCTCGATCACTAGCTCCCTCAAGAATAAGAGGCAATAATAGAGCGAATCCATAGGAGAATACTCCACCACGAGCTACCAAAACATGATAAGTCAATCGTTAATTTCCATCCCAAGGTGATTAGTACAACCATATATCACCTCGTGGGCTTTGTCGTATCCTGTCTGTTCTTTTTTTTATCATCTTTCATGTTATGTTAATTCGGACTAATCTCTTGTTATTATATTTACTTAATTGATTGAAGCTGATATGCTTTAGCTAACATTCTATCCTGTCTATTCATCTTTAACCGACCTATTTGTAAAGGTGAAACTCTCGTTAGCTAATCCTCACTCGACAACCTAGTTCTTGCTTTAGACGATCGAATAGACCTTCGACCAGGCGTTCTACCCTTATGGAATCGGCATCAAGAAGATTTGCAGGCAAATAGACTAAGGGAAAAGAATAATATATAGTAAAAAATCTCTGTCCTAACCCGCAATAAGTTAAGGAAGTGCACTCCTGGACCTGTAGCTGTAAGAGATGACCCAGCAACAAGTAATTTGTTCCTTCCTTTTCTCTTTCTCTAGTGCTTCCGGTCACGAAGGTAGCTTTATTTGAACCCAAACTGGAGTTCTGCCCTTACTTTAGTAGGACGAGGTCAAATGGCATTGGATGCTGGAACCCAAAAAAAAAAAAGTCCAACTAGGGAAGAAGCATAAAAAAGCTCGATTTGTAAGGTTCCATGCTCTTTTTGCAAGTTGGTACTATACCTGGTTTAGACGGTCGAAGAGGAAAGAAAGGAGAGAAGGTATGGAAAGAGAAGTGAACTTTTGGACTAGTTACACGTTAATCGAAATTAAATTTTTAATATTTTGAAAAAATAGATAATAACAAGCCATCCATTACTTTTTGCTTAAATTAATTCCCAACTTAATATTTTTTTAATGAAATATTCATATTAATTCCCAACTTAAACATTCACCGATTCTCGAATTGGATCCATAAACTAACAATCGTATCAATTAGATCTCAAAAGCATCAAATATTTTTCATGTAAGTCCTTCTATCCTTTTAAATTTCCATTGTTTGGTTTAATTATGGCATTCATAAGAAAATTTGATCACTCTGCTAAGAAATCACGTGGACCAAAGTCTACTGTATTAGAGACGAAATGAACAAAATTAATTGCTTTGGGATGAAATTAAGAATTAGGTAATAAATCATGGATGAAAATGAGAGGTTTTCCCTGCTTCTAATTGCTGTCATGAAAGTAAAAGTGACTGGCGAGTGACTAAACACTTCTCTCGGAGAAAGAGAAAGTACTTATTCCTCTGGCCATTCCATTATTCTTGTTCTCAATTGCCCCCCACTATAGAAATGGTTTTGTTGCATCATTCTTGATATGGCATACAATTCGAACAGCATAGTAATTACTATTTAGGAAACAAAATTAGTCACTCGGTTTTGAGAAACGAATTAATTAGTTCCTTTATTTCAAAAACTAATTTTTTTAGTTACCTTAATTTATTTAGGCAATTGATTTATTAGGAAATTAATCATGACACTAGGATGGTATTTTTATTTTTATTTTTATTTTTTTCAATGTTATTTGAGTTTCCTAGTTTTCTATTTAAAATTGTTGTAATAGCCTCTTGGCAAGAAGGCGATTGATGAATAAAAATTGATTGTTATGAGTTTTACTATAATTTTATTGTGTTTTTTTTTTTAAGAATTTTTTAGTACTAACAAAATCCAGAATCATTTTTGTTATACAATGTGTCAATTATTTATACGGCATTAATTTGTTAGTGCTCAAGAATCTATTAAAAAAAACAAAATAAAACTGTAGAAAAACTCACAAAAATCAATTTTTATTCATCAATCGTTTTCTTGCCAAAAAGCTAGGAAAATCTAATAATATTGAATAGAAAAATAACATAAAAATATCATCCTAGAGTTGTTGGTGCATAGTGTTTTTCTGTATTGTGACAAAAAAAAAAAAGTTTGCAACTAGTGATAAAGGAGATCACTTTGAGATTCCATATTGAAGGATCATTCACTTTTTGCATACATAAGGTTCGATTCTAGGACGTGCGTAGGAAACTACGCATGATGTGTGCCTGGCAATATCTGGACACGAAATGAAAATGGAAGAAGATGAACAGACGACAGGATGCATGTGCAATTTTTGGCCAAGTTTCTGATGAATGGCATGGTTCCTTTATGACATCTAGCTAGCTAGTCTTGTTTGAAACACGAAAATGGCATCGTCATGCCTAACAAGCTGTTAGTAATATGTGGAAGTGATTGTGGCCTTGTGGGGTAGAAGGCTCGAATCAAAACGTTAATTAATAGTAGGAGATACAAAGGGGCATTAAATTTGAGCCAGCTAGGTTAGTTTCACCTAAAACTACTAAAGGAACTTACAAAAACATAAAAAACATACGGACTAGATTATAATTTACTTCCAACCAAAAAGCTTCCTCACCTCCCCTGTTTCCGTGTGTTAACATTGTAAACCTGAATGGAACTTCTTCTCATTTTTCGTTGAAAAGTAAAAAAAATAATGGATGAAAAAGAAAAATAATAAAAACAAAAGAATGACAAGTTCTTTTTTTCAAAAAAAAAAAAAAATCACTCATCTGATCAAAAGAAATTAATTAATTCATTCTGCGGAATCGAGAGAGACTAATTTATAATTTACTCGCTATATTGTTTAAGAATATGATGAATGAATGTTCAAGAAAGGTGAACTCATAAATTGATCAGCAATCCAAATTTTTTACATGGTATAGTCACATAGGTGTACATACAAATATTATATCTTATATTAGATTTGCTACATACAATATTATATCTCTTTTTCTTTTCCTAGTATTCCTTTACAAAAATTTTATTACAACAAGCATGCAAGAATCATGAATTAATACAATCAGAAAAGCAAACTTGATTGATTCACTTCACAGATTGAGACTCTCCCAGGAACGTTTGGTTGGACGGGAGTCAGGCGTGCGAGCAAGACCTCTTTCGGTCGAACTTCTATATGGTTGCAGCAGTCGTTTCACAAGTAACCAATAAAAAAATTGTATCATGCAAGCTCCCATTCTTGATGCCGAGAAGGAGCAGGAATGGCTCGAACAAAAGACTACAAGAGCATCGAGGTAACAGCTGAGGCAGCAAACAGCACATAAAATATCACATCTTCGTTGTAAAGACCTGTGAAGCAAGAAAAGTTTAGTCAGGAAGAGGCCATTGAGAAGTTAAAATTGTAGTTGGTGAGGAAAATGAAAGGCAAAGTTTCCCTCTAATCCAGTTTCTAGGTTGCAAATTAACTTGGACAATTGAGGAAAAGAAGAAAACGAAAGACATTCGAGGAATAATGTAGATACAGTACACTTTCCTGCATCACTGAAGTTTATGGTATTGATAGAGGGAGATAAAGGTCAGCTGCGAAAGTGTTTTGAGTGGACCTTGGCAATTAAACATGGATGTTTTCAATCTCAGTGAATGCTGGTAAGGCTTCGAACTCTCCTAAGTAAATATAAAAATACACCTGCGCCATCTAATTCACAATTTTAAACCAGAAGTAACTAGCAAAGGTATTTTTAAATGGTACGATACGATCAAAGAGGTTTGTGTGCATGTAACTCAAATCACTTTATTTTATAACTACAGCTTTCCCACTTCACGAATCACAACACTGCATAAGGAAAGATGTCCATGCAAAGATAACTAGCGAGCCTCAATTTTATAGGTACTAAAGCAAGCTTTACAAATTCTGATAGTTAAACACATTAGATTCATTTTCCACATCATGGTATTCCAGAGGAAGCATGAGCGTAAGTTAGAATATTCTTACCACTTTGAGCATTTGCAGCAGCAGGAAGTGCAGGAATTTTGATGGCTGCAAACAAATAAGTCAGGTTAGGATATGAAGAGGTCAATAAGAACTTGAATGGCAGAAATAACTTCAGCTATAAACTAAAGAACCATCAATGAACAAGCAATCATGAGTAGGACATACTTTTATTGCATGATGCTGATAACTGCGACGTAGAGGGCCATGGAGCAGGAATATTATCATTCAAATCACAAATGAAGCTGATCCCTGAGGACTGGTCAAATGTTGCATCAGATGGCATGCTCGGTAGAAGGCATCCAGACTCTAAAGGGAAAAGAAGATGATGAAGCAAACAGGTTAAATTCAATTCTATACAACTGACACAAGCTAAAGATGCTCTATGCAATTATAATCCATTTGCCAATGCCAATCATGGTAACAAACATAAGAAAATAGTTTAGAAATCAACTGCCCACTACCCAAAGCTGAAAATCAGATTCTCTGCCTGGTGCTCAATGGGGATTGGTTGCGTACTGGATAAGATGCATATCTGCTAGATCCTTAGAGACGGCAAAATGGCATTGAGAAATTGGCCGTGCTTGTGTGTGTGCTAAGTTCATATTCGCAAAGAAAATTTCATAGGATGGTTCCATAAAGTACATATATTACCTTGTCTTGCAACTGACATGTGCAAATGGTCGATCCACGATCATATCAAAAGAGTAAAAGAAGAAAAGAATCTTGCATTAGTATCTGATTTAAATTTATCGGAGAGAAAACACTCAACAATGTATCAACAGAGGGAAAATTTGAGGTTTGGGAGAAGACACTAAATAAAAAGAGGAAAAAAAGATAAAAAGAAAAATAGTTAAAAAGTAAAAACGCCAACCTTGAAGGGAGAAATCCTTAAGGGTTATATGACAAAGGCTATAAACATCTTTAGTAATATTGGATCTCTGTAACTTCATTCCTAGAGTTGTAGCGCAATCCAGAGCTTGCAAGTTGGTTATGAGGCTCTGCTTCTGCAAGTGAGACACGTAGCTCTCCATGGCACTACAGCATTCTGTCTTGTTACTAATCTCATTCCCACAGCCTTTTGCAACATGTCTCATGTCAGGAAAAACCAGAGGGCAAACTGAAGCAGAAAGCAAAAGAGAAAAGATGAGAAAAGAAGAGTGACTGGTGAGGCCTGCTGAAGGATTGTCACTACTAAGTTAAGGCAAGAATCAAGAACAGTGTGCAAACCCCCATGAAAAATTAACAATGCACAAACATAAAGGAGTCCATCTCATATAGAATTTGAGCATTATTTGTGAAGAATCAAAAAGAAAAAAAAAAAGCCATTGCTATTTTCTCGAAAAAGAACAACTAGGATTACTAGCACCATCGATGAAAATCTGCTACATGTCCACAGAGGCTGCAAGACATGCACAAAGCACCAAAGAGACAACAAAAGGTATGCAAGACGCAGCATGTTGGTGCACATTACATGCTTGCATGCAGACTGATAGATACATACTCACTTTTGGTGTTAAGTGATATCTCTTAGCAGAAGAGTTGACTGATTATTTGGAAATCCACAGATGTACCACATTATCACTTTTGGTGTTAAGAGATATCTCTTAGCAGAAGAGTTGACTAATTATTTGGAAATCCACAGATGTACCTCATGCAATCATCACATGATCCTCAGCAATTGAATACATTCCCAGCTGTAATTCTGATAATTTATTGCCATAACAGAAAAGCAAGTTTGTGACATCCACATTTTCAAACTCACCTTCATTAACTTTGCAATTAGATAGTCTTCTGAGAACCTCCTTTGCACGAGAAGGATCGAGTTTACCAGCCAGCCATCGAAGTACAATATGTTTACAATCATCAACCTTTGTTGACTGCTCAGTTAAACCATGGGACCCAGCTATGCTCAATACTTCAGAAGCTTTTAAAGCAATTTTTGTAGCAGCTTCTAATATGGCATTTTGACAAACTTGATCGCAACATTCTTTAACTGGATCAATATTCTCACAGGCAGCAAGAAGCTTAGAAGAATCCACAGTGCCCTCAAATTCATTGACATCCTTAACAGGGCAAGTCCCTTCAGTGAGATTTGATGGATGAATTGAGCATATCTTATTCACATTGCCTGCTGCACCCTGACCTGCCAATATCTGCTCAATATCTGAAAGGCAATGCTTTGAAACTGTCCCATTTAAAGCAAGAGTGTTGGTAGCTTTACTGGATTGGCCCATAAGAATTGCAAGAGTGGCTTGTAACTGGGGACAGCATATAACATTAGCCAGCAGTGGCGCAAAAATAGACCAACAATCAGTTGATGTTGTACTCATCAAACTTTGGGCAGCAGTGAAATTCAGCGTGCATTGTCCTACAAAACAAGAACATCACCATATTTAAAACAAAATTGGGTGTTTCAACTCAAATGCCATCGAAAATCAAAATTGAACAGACCAACCTGATAACTTTGGAATGGTACTGTTTGTGAATGGTGCTAATGGAGAAGGAGCAAGAAGAGGAAGGAGTGGCTGAGGAGCTGAATTTGGAGAGATCTCAGGAAGAAAACCATCTACTCTTCTGTCAGTCGACAATGAGCCTCCGAATACATTGAATGGGCTGCAGTGACACTCTTTCAGACCTATAGCAGAAGGATGGGCTCATTGTGATGCAAACTCAAAAAAACAAAAATGCAAATTAAAGGGATCATTTGAATCTAAATAATAATCAGACAATCAGTGAGAAATCCGAAAGCAGATAATAATAGTTGATTGTTTAGTATGCAGGAAAATCAGGCTAGAGAGAATATTTCAAGAGCAAATGTAATGCAGCAAGACAAGCATAGCTTGAAAACAAATAAAGGACTAAATGGCTTATCACCTATGCACCAGCCACAGATCCCTATCCGATTTTCTTACCATCAACCACCATACTTACTAGAAATACCCAACGACAGGAAACAAGTCTGACCTCTCCCCCACACCCAACCCCCGATCATCATGTTTGTTAAAGCATGATTCTCTCAAAGTTGGATATCAAACTACACAATCAGTTGGGTGTAAGTAACTAAGATATTGATTGTCTCGGTCTAAATTATGTTAACAACTGAAAACCAGCTCCTCACCAAAATGGCAGGTACAGTAGATCACATCCAATAAAAGAGGAAAGGCATTACAATTACCCCCAATGTTTCAAGCAGCAAGTTAGTAATGGAAATCTTGCCAAATAATCAGTTTAATTGAACTCATCCCAAACCTGACCAAAAACGTTCTCTCTTTATTTCTCATGGGCTTATGAAAGGGAACCTAAATGAGCACTAAACCTACAATAGCATCACATTATACATTACCAAAAAATAAAGCCAAAGCCACTCTACACTCAAACAAAAATCGTAACTTAATATTGTCAACAGGAGATAAAGCAAAACAATAAAGGGCAGTAAGTTAAAAGAGTCAATATTGCATATCAGCTAACATCAAATCAATCACCCTACACAAATTCTACAACTTTAGTCTACAAAACCATTAAATTGACAAATTCCAGAAACCCCATTTGCACAAACCCATCATAGAAAACAATAAAATTACCAAAATCCAATTACATTCACTCTACAAAAACACCACCTTGAAACAACCCAACTGTGAAAACTCACAGATCATGCCAAAATAACCAAAACCCATTTAATAAAACAGCAAATAAGAGCTAAATACTCACTCAAAATCAACAGAAACACATCCACAAAAACCATCCTCAGACTCAGCTTCCGCTTGAGAGACACCCCTTCACTCATTCCTCCACTTAAATTAAACCCCCACGAAAAAAAAAGGCAAAAAGCTCAACAGAAACTGAAAGGAGAAGGTTCGTGATAAAAAGTATGTGACGTGGAATTCAGAGAAGGGTATGGTGGGTGGAAGAAGAGAGAAGAAGCCATGAATGCATAGCTAGTTAATGCTATAAGTGTGTGGGGACAAGTGCAGTTTCAGCAATAGCTGTACACTAAAGACTAGAAGAGAGTGTATTTACTATTTAGTTCATAGAAAGGGCCCCAGATGACATAGAAAGCCTAAAAACTAGAGATTTATTAACAGTAGTGGCATTAATATGCCATTAATTGCCTTTTCTCTTTCTTGCTCCCTTTCTTCTGCTTCCCACTTTAGAGTTTTGACACTTGGCATGAGTGACATGCACGAAAGGAAAGATAAATAGTATAGGGTTAGGGTTAGTCCATAAGCTTTGATTCCACTTGGAATTTTATAATAAGTATCTAAGAGAATTTATTCTATGTATCATATCTATATAAGGAGTGTATTTCTAAGATCTCTTAAATATATAATTTGATTTTTATTTAATTAGAGTATTAATAAAAAAAAATGATGTTGCTCAATAAAAATTAAAGTGGTGGGAAGGATTGCAAATTTTTTGAGAAATTAACCCTTTCAAGTTATATATATAATTTTAATTTTTAATTTTAAAGATGAAATTAAAATTTACACACTTGATGAAAATAGATAGAGGAAAAAAATTGAAACAAAAGTGAAAGATATAGAGATTGATTGAAACAAATTAAAAATTTTAATTTAAAATTAAGATAATAAATAAATCTTATAACAAGAAATTAAAATCTATTATTTGCATTACAATTTTAGATTTTTTCGGTTTTCAAAATACATTTTAACAGTAGATTTGAAAATTGCAATGATCTTCCAAACACAAAAATAAACCAAAAAAAAAAAAAATTCAAATCTATCGCTATTATTGTTGTTAATCGAAAAATACCTCTAGGTCAATTTTATAAACAGATCATTCACGATTGAATATTATAATAATTTCTACCATTAACGATCTTATCTAATGTTTGAAACATCGTTGTTGCCCAGAAAATCCAACCTCTTAAATTGCACAAACATCATTAAATATTCCATGATTAATATTCTGGAATATAAAGCTGTAGTCTACTATATAAAATGCATGAAAAGATTGATAATGAGAGGGACACATCAAATAATTTTATGCTGATGTGAGATTTTGTCAAGTTCTAATGAAGGAATTTAGACACTTGAGGCTGTGATTATCAAATCCAAAATCTTCAGGATAACATTTGTAATTAATTTGGTGAAATGTGAGTGGTTGATGCAGGTATGGCTGTCTAGTTGGGGTGGGGTTTAATATTTCTGGTGCATGTTTTCTGGGCATTTATGACAAGGCCAGAAACTGCTGTCTCAGTACTCTCCTGTCGTTTGTGGGGTTTTTGTTTGGACTTTCGGGGAGTTGCCATTGACAATTGACATTGAGATTTTTGGTGTTGCAGCTGGGCTAGGAAAGTCAAGCAAAGCTATTCTCTAAGAGGCCTAAGTGTCTCCAGGTCAAGTCTAGGGTTTCCATTTTTAATGGGCTGAAATTGGTGTGTAGAGTTAGATGAGCCAAGTTGAACATCAGATGGTCCACTTCATGCCTAAAAAGGCCCAATGCTAGACTACCATTTACTTTTAGCTTAATAACCAGTTTTTTTTTTTATGCACGCTACACTGCGGATTAAATAAAATATATAAAATTATTTATAAAAATTATTTTAATTTAATAATCTGTTTTATGACGTGAATTTATAAAAATATATAAAATCAAAGATTAAAAAAATTAATTATAATCTTTTAATAAAAAATTTGTATTTAACTATTTCTTATTTGTGTTTTTCATAATTTTTTCTTTAGAAAACAAATTTATCCTTGTTAATCTATAGATTATTAACTAAAAAAATTAAATAATTTTTTTTAAAAAAAAGCTTTAGTATTTCATAAGATTGTGTCCAAAAACATAAGTAACAATTATTAAAAGCTTACATATAATTGAACAAATTATTTTTTTATTTAATATTGATGAGAATATTGGTTTTTCAAAAAAAATATGAATTTAATTTTTATATATTTATTTACAAAAGAATGAATAATATTAAAATAAAAAATTATATTAATTTGAATCGGTAAGTGATTAAGCCAAAACATAATTTTAATTATTTAGTTTAAAATAAGTTAATTTTAAAATATAAATAAATAAATAGTAAATGCTTAGTGTAGTAGTAGTTGCACGGTTAATTTCTAAAAAAACAACGATTCGATATTTGTTTATACATCATAACTATACTAAGTGAGTTTAGAGTTTTTAATCTAAAAAAACAAATACTGTGAAAAAAAGTTAACTTGCAAGGAATCTATTGACTAAATTTGAAATTAATAGACTAAAATAAAAATTATTACAAATTTGATTTCGATTAATTTTGATTATATAAAGAAAAAACAAATTAATAAAACATGTGAATTCTTTTTTTCTCTCTTTCTTAAATTTTTTTTTATTTCTATGTTATGCATAGCTAGTCCTTGAGTACGGGCCTCACGCGCAAAACAACCATCTTTTTTTTATTTTTCACAATTTACTTTCAACTATTAATTGTATAATTTGAGTTTTTTTCTAAAAAAAAGAACAAGAAAAAATGATTTAAAATACACTTTTAATCTAAAAATGTATTTTAGACAAATTATATATAATTTAAAAGTTACCCGAATCTATGTTTCAAAGAAAAATAATCATGTTCTAAAAATTATTCCAAAATCTATACATATAGAAAAATAAATAAAAAATATCAATAAATATAATTTTAAATTAATTGAATGAGAATTAAAAAAAAATTAAAGTAGTAAATTTTAAATAATAAAAATAATTAACAAAAACACTAAAACAAAATAGGACCAAATCACAATATAATCAAAGTTTGAAATTGAAAAAGAAAAAGAATTTAAAAAAAATTACAAATTAATGTAGTAAAATTTAAATAATATAAAAAAATCGAGCAAAAAATATTTGAAATATGCTTTTAATCTGAAAATGTATTTCAGACAAAATTATATATATTAATCATGTCACTATAATTTATAAATTATCTAAATCTATATTTCAAAAGAAAAAAATCATGTTCTAAGAATTTATTCCAAAATCCATACATATAAAAAAAAAATTAAAGCATCAAGTATATATAATTTTAAATTAATTAAATAAGAATTTAAAAAAAATAAAAAATTAAAGTAGTAAATTTTAAATAATAAAAATAATTAACAAAAAAAACTAAAAAAAAATGGACCAAATCACAATATAATTAATGTTTAAACTTAAAAAAATAATAAATTAACTTAGTAAATTTTAAATAATATAAAAAAATTGAGAAAACATTATTTGAAATACATTTTTCATGTAAAAATGTATTTCAAAAAAAATTATATATATTAATCATACTACTATAACTTAAAAATTATCTAAATCTATTTTTCAAAAGAAAAAATAATCATGCTTTAAAAATTTATTTCAAAACCCATACATATAAAAAAATAAATCAAAATTGTCAGTAAATATAATTTTAAATTAATTGGATAAGAATCTAAAAAAAAATGATAAATTAAAGTATTAAATTTTAAATAATAAAAATAATTAACAAAAAACATTAAAACAAAATAGGATCAAGTTATAATATAATTAAAGTTTGAAATTTTAAATAATAAAAATAATTAAAAAATTAAAGTTTGAAATTTAAAGAATAAAAAAGAGAGAGTTTAAACAAAGGACAAATTAAAGTAGTAAATTTTAAATAATTAAAATAATTAAAAAAACTAAAATAAAATGGGACCAAATCACAATATAATTAAAGTTTGAAATTAAAAAAAAATAGAAACAAATTGAGGACCAAAGTGTTACAAAAGTGAGATGAATAGTAAAAGAAATAGTGATTTGTGAGTGTGTAAATAGTATTTAAAATAGTGACATGAATAGTAAAACATGGTTCTACTTTATTTTTTTTAGTAACTAGTTTTTTTTTACCACATATACGATAGAATACATAAAATTATTTTTAAAAATTATTTTAAGTTGATATTTCGTATTAACATTATATATATTAAAATACAATAAATCAAAATTGGATAAAAATTCACTCAATTTTATAATTTTTTAATCAAAATTTTGTAATTAATGGATTATTATTTATATTTTTCATAAAATTTTGATTAAAAAATATTATTTATTTATTTCTATACACAAACTAAAAAATTTACAATGGTATAAAATGTCAAAATCAATGGATTGTTAACAAAAAACTTATTTTATAAATTATTTTTTAAAATATTTTTGCCTTAAATTTTTAATTTAAAAAAATCCAGAGAAAAATTAGAAAGGACTAAAGTGACAAAAAAAAAGGAACCAAAATTAAACAAAAATATTTGTAGACTAAAAAAAATAATATTTAAAAAAAAGAACCAAAATTACTATCATAAAAACTTTTACGATAAATGTATTTAAAATATTTGAAAAATATAAAAATGTCACCGTATAATGAAAAGAATAATACGTTTAAGTCTTAGTGAATAATGTAAATGAGTATAAGTAAATAGTATTTTAAATGGTATAATAAATAATAACCTATCCTTTTCTTTAATTTTTTTTTTGTTAATAATTTAATTATGAGAGTGGTTTTGTCGAGCACCTCTCTCCACACTGTTAACTCTGATACTTGCGCTCTATAAGCCTATATTCTCGCAAGATTTAGGAGACGCTATCATCAGTTTTTCACTTCATCAAAAAAATTGAATACTAGATAAAATTAGTTTAGATATCCGAAGTATCATGCATCATCAATGACATTATCTATGAAGATGGGTTTTTTCAACTTCTAATTCGACAGTAATGGTGTACTCTTCCTCCTTTGTAGTGTCAAATTCCCAGATGAGACAAGTTCAACATCAGAGGGTCCAGTTCATGCCTAAAAGGACCCATTATAAGACTATTCCTTGCATTCCATTTCCTCTTAACTCACTCTTTTGACGGTATAATTTTTGCACTAGAATTCCCCTTTTTCATTAAGGTGGAAAAGTCAAATTCCATAAGAGATAGTGGTAAAATCAAACTCAAAACCGAAAACCATATACATACCTGTTTTTTCTCTTTGTTTTTATCAAATATGTAATTATATTCGAACTCTTTAATTCGAAATCCAACGGATCTTTTGAATATATAAAATGTATTTCGGTTATATATTCTCTTTTGTAAGAGCATTTTGCGTTGAATGCCACTAATTCTATTGTAAAGATGTCCCTTCTTTTTTTTTGTTTGCTTGAGGAAATCCCATTGATGAGGATAGATCTGTTAGTTGTTAGTTGTTAAGGATCGGTTTAGAAAATTATAGAAAGTTGAATGACTAATTCTATTTATATCGATTCATCAAACTAAATTCCTTTCGCCTGCTCATGCATTATCGTCTTCCTAATCACACGCACAAAAAAGGATAGAGCTAAATCATTACACTACCAGTTCCTACATTTTCAAATAGCAGATCTATAGCTAGTAAGTAACTATAAATTAGTGTCTCAAGTTTTAAGAAATAAATTAGTTAGTCCCTCTTGTTTTAAAAATTAATTATTTAATCTTTTGTTTAATGCTAACAACACTTAATTTAATATTATTTTATTTTAAAAAAAAATTGTTCTTCATCAATCTTTCCATAATATATATTTTCTTTTTTATTATTTAAAAGAAAAAATAAACTAGAAAATAGTATAAAATGAACAAAAAAACTAAATAATTAGTTTTTAAAATGAAGAGACTAATTAAATCGCTTTTCAAAACTAGAGTAACTAACTTATAATTTACCCATAGCTAGTTTACTGCTTGTATGAGTTTTTTCATGGAACCTGATCTTTCAAACGAGTAAATTATAAAATTAGTCACTCTAGTTTCAAGAAATGAATTGATTAATCCCTTGTTTTAAAAAATTAATTATTTAATCTTTATATTTTTAAATTATTTAATCTTTAGATTTTTAAGTTTTCTGATAACTTAATCATTTTTGCCATTTTCAAAAATTGAATACTTTTTTGCCATGATTTATCTTGTTCGGATTTTAAATAGTTGGTAGATCATTACTATTATTTCTTAATCTTTTAAAAACACTATATATTGAGCATCACCAAGCATAATCTTTTTTTTTTTTTACATAGATAGAATTCTGCAACTCACAATCAGTTATTAATTAATAGTCAAGAAGTTAGCACTAGTAGTTAATAAGAGCTTCTGGTTAACGTTAATAGTTAGTAATTAACGGGATAAAAGTAAAGAGTTATATTACCACAACGGATTGAATTAACCCTGCATCATTAAGCACATATATCCTTTGAGAAGTTTATGAGTTTATTACGTCTTAATTAAATTCAAGTCTCTTCTAAATCTGAGACTACAACTTACTCACTTCATTAAATCAAAGGAGATAACCCCGTTGACTAGTTTAAGAAGTAATCGTAATAAGTAAATATAATTACGTTGATGAAGTTATCGTTGAAATTTTCCATCATTTTTCACAAAACAAAAATGAATTGATCAGGCCAACTAACGGTAGAATATCTTATTTGGTTTAAACCAAAAAGAAAAAAATAATCCACAAATGTAACAAAAATAAATATTAATTAAATAAGGAATTAATAGATGTACACGATCACTTAGCAAACTATCCAGCCTTCCTATATGTACAAATAAATACCTCAAGTTTGGGAACTTCTCCTGACAATAACATAGGGGTAGGTACAGGAACTTGGTTTCTACTTTCTAGCAACTACGTACATGAACAAACCATTTAGTTCACCTCAGGAATACTTTGCAAGGCAGGTTTCCAGTGCCTATGATGATGCTCCATTTCAAACTTAAGATCACTAGTAGAGTTTACAAACCTAGCCAGGACCTGTTCCATGGACAATCCCTGCATGTTAACCCTTGCCATTATCTCTTCCAACTCCCTCTTTGTAATCTTAATCTTCACCTCCCTAGTAGAACCTGAACACAAAGAACTTGTGTCAAGAAGCCTCTGTCTTTCATTGTTAGTACTACCATATTCCTCATCCTCATCATCAGCTCCATGAAGCATTGTAGCAGGGTGATGCTTATGATGCGCCACCGATCCCCAGTCGTCACCGGCCCATACGACAGACGATGATGAAGTTACACAACAATTTCCCATGGTGTTTGATCAAGCAATCAAAAAAAAAAAAAAGAAAAATTGAATGAACGAAAGGAGAGATTTTAGAGAAAGAAAGGTTGTGCTATTTATAGGTAGAAGAGAATAGGAAATGTATAGCTCAGAGCCACTTGTTTCCAAGAAGTTACAAGGGGCTTGCTGGACATGCTGAGATATGTTCATAGGTGGCAATAGAAGAGGCTGTTTGTTGACCAAAAAAAGCCATGTAATCTGGAAGCAACCAAAGACCGTGTTGTGTAATGAAATCAGCAAATCGGCTTCTACAGCTTGAGCTAGCCATGTCGGTGAGCTATTGGAAAAATCATAGGTAGGCACAGGCCGCCAGCTTGGCTAAACTATATGTATACAATAAATAATATGACTTTATCACCTTACTTTCATTTCTTCTTGATATTTTATTTTGCATTGACTTGTTATGCATCCAAATCATTCAAGTGATGATAATAAAATAAACTTAATGATTAGGTTGGAAAGTGTGAATCGGATTATAGATGGCATCTTTGGGTTGGACAGCTAGTGTGAACTTGCTTGGCAAATGGAATCTTGGACCTAACATCGATTCCTTCCTAACCTGGCTAGTGTCTAGCATTTCAACCCCCCACGAGTGTGTGATTTACTCATGTCATACTAATCCAATTCTTACAAAGCTTATTGTATGTATTGGATTTTTCATTACAACATCATGGTATTTTTCGGTCAATTCGCATCAAAATTAAGTAGGTTAAACGGTATAGACTTTTTTTTAATTTTAAATCATTTAAGAATCAATTTTTTTAATTTTTAATTTTGGATTAGGCCTCTATCCAATTATTTTTTATTTAAAATTAGATTTTTTTATTAGATTTTCATCGATTTTAATATAAAAGTACAAATTTAATTTCAATAGGTAATAATATATCGAAACTTATAAATGTTTTTCTTTTATCTCCAAAACTTTTTTTTTCTTTCTCAATACCAAGAAGTAAACAATTAAAAAATATTTTAGAAAGAAAGAAACAAGTTTGAAAAAAAAAAACATCTATAAATTTTGATATATTTTTAATTGTTAAAAAAATTAAAAAATCAACCACGTAGGAGTCACGTATCCTTATATCATTAAAATTAATGAAAACATATTTAAAAAGAAAACTCAATTTTAAATAAAATAATCAGCGAAAAATCTAATTTAAAATTAGAAGTTGAGAAACAGGTTCTCAATTGACTTAAAAATTTACAAGAGGTTTGAATCGTTTATCAAAATTAAGTTTATTTGTTATCAAATCTTTAAATTACCGTAGAATTAAAAAAAAAAAAAAGTCTCGAAATTAAACCATAATATTATGAAAGATAGATGAAAGAGAGAAGATATCCTTTGACCATTAGTGGGGAAAAAAAGAATTATACGTGGCAAACTGGCAATGAAGAATTTTACTCATTGACACACATGGAAACAATGTGGCGTAATCAAAATTTGTTAACTATTCTATCCGATTAGGATGACAGTTAGAAAATTGGAATAAAGACAGACAGATATTTTCCTTTGTAAAAATTGTGATATTTTTGTCAACCAGATACTTGTCTTCGTGAGAAGTCACCTACAATAATCAAATTGACAACAAAGAAATTTAAATTTCAAGAAATCAACAAAAACAAACAAACAAATATATATATATAGCCAGCCGGCTATGAGTAATATTTGGATTAACCAAGATGGTCATTGGTCAAGCCGGTGGTTGAAGGCATGCTTTCTTTAATCTTTTACGTAAGAAAAATATTTTAAACTTATAATACAAGATATCAAGAAAGTATTGTACAGCGGCCATTAATACATATAGAAAATAATTGCCAGATAATAGATAGTAGCTTAATTTCAAGAAGTATAACAAAAGAGAAATAAAAAATATTGCTAGCTAGGGAAGAAGGTTGTCTTTTGTCTATTTATTGGTTTATTTTTTTACACATCCAGCTCATGTATAAGATATTTGGAAATTCACTTGTTAATTCCAACTAAATCTATGTTGTTAGCTGTAGATCGAATGCATGCCAGCTCCAACAATATTTGTTCTCGAAACAAGTGATCAACATCAAATATATATACTCCATTCCTTCTCAAAATTATCCAAATACAATTTTATATATATATATAATTACGAACAAAAGATACTACTTTAAAAATGTCAAACCTCCTCTAAACTTTTCATTTAAAAATTAATTTTAAACTTTTATTTTGTACTTTGAACTCTCTAATTTTTTTTTATTTTCTTAGATTTAGTTCATCATATGATTTTTAACTATCATCCATCTTCTTTAAAAATTTAATTTTTTGTATTTGATTTGAAGTTTTGCACGGACGTTGAAAAAAATCCAATCTATTTTTTTTAAAAAAAGTTATAGAATGTTTCAAGGTAGAAAATTATATATTTTTTTTATTTTTGGAACATTAAAAATATAGAAAATAAAAAAGTAAAAAATGACTCGGAATTATCCAAATTTTTTTTAAAAGTTCCAGATAAATCTTAATGAATAATTTACATCATAGAATTATTTATTTAATTGTTATTTTTAATAAATTAAAAAAACTTGAAGGATGAACTAAAGCTTAAAAAAAAATTAGAAAATTGAAGGATGAACTATTTATGTAATAGACTAAAGTTCAAAGGCAGATTGATTCTTTTAACCAAAATACTGATATAAAATAACATTTAATAGAAAAAAACTAGAAACGAAGATATATATATATATATATATATATATATATATATATATATATATATGAAATTGTGATTTGAGTCATTTTCATTTCATATAGAAATAGTCAAGGCCGTTCAACAAAATTCTTTCTTCTTGCTTGAAGATCTTAAACTAACGTCTTAAACTATGTCAACTAATCTTATCCGATTTACGAGACAGAGAAATGAAATGCTTGCATAATTTAGAAGTTCCAAAGTTGATAAATTATGGATTTTCTTGCTGCAATTAACCATATGTATAAACATATATAGACATGATGAATGATGAATTGATTTTTTTATTCAACAATAAAAAGTATTTTCAAATTAATTTATACGTTTCTTAATAATCCAAAAAACGTCAAAACACTCTTCCGTCAACGCAAAGTAGCTAGTCTATTTTCTGGTCTTTCAAAGCCTTCCATTCTTAAGCCAGGCAGTCCAGTCAATAAAAATCAAGGTAGAAAACCGGACCTGGTTAGCATCTCGAAGATAAATCTCCTCCAAAAAAGAAAATGAAGTTACAAGACAGCGGACGTGTAGCTAGGTGCAAAGTAGTAAGCTGCCTGGCCAAATAAAGCAAGCCTAAGAAGCAAGAAAGGCGTAATCAGATGTTTTCTCAAGTGGATTTTACCTAACAAGTGAAAAAATGCATGACAATTTAGATTATAAATGGCATTGTTAATCTTTCCATTCAGTTCGGTTTGGAGTTTCTTTGGTGGATAATAAATCGGATCTATTGAAAATGAGAATAACGCTACAACCCTTAAACCTGAACTTCTTCGATATTTTTTGGGTCATCAAAATCTCACATGTCTAAAACTCTAGATTAATAAATCGTTATTTAATCTAGATATTTAAAAAGTTATATATATATATAAAGATTTGAAATCGAAACTATCTGTTTAAACCATTAAAACTCTTTTTGCTTCAGCCAATTTTCTTGAATAACTTCTTTATATGTTTATACATATGGTAGTACTAACAATGAAAGACAGAGGCTAAAGATGAATAGTTAATAATGAAAATTTTCCAACGCTTTTAGTTTCTCCCCTTTAATTAAATACAATAAATATTACTATACTAGCTAAAGATGAATTTTATTTTATTTTTTGATAATTGATTTTACTTGTTCTAACTTATGCAAATTCTCAAAAACAAGAAATCTTTCATGTTATTTATGATAACCTGAATTTTCCAACCTCACTTTAAGACAGAATAAATGATGATGATAGTGATATTGGTGTAATAGACTAAACTTAGGTATCTATCAAATCTTTTCTAACTTTTTTGCATCTCCATGAAGTAATAAATGATGATGGTCGTGTGATAAACTACGCTTAGGTATTTATCAAATCTTCTCTAATTTTTTTGCACCTCAATGAAGTAGTTAATTATTAGACTTATAGATACCTCATGTTATGATATATCATGTCATGCATAAGGCTCCGTTTTTTAAATCATTTAGGCTCCATAGGAAAATCAATTTTAGGAAATCTATTTTTTAGTAAATTATTTTTTAAAAAATATTTTATGACGTTTGGTAATTACATAAAAAAATTACTAAAAAATATATATTCAGTGTTTATTTGATGTAGAAAATTGAAATACAAAAATAATTTTTTTGAAAATTAAACTGTTAATTTAGTCTAAAAAATAATTTTATAAATTATTAGTTATCATTTGTAAATAATAATTCATTTGATTTCAAAAGATTAACGTTTGAATAATTTAAACTAATTATTGACTACAATTACAAATAAAATTTTAGAACTAATTAAAATTAGCCACTAATTATTGATTTAGTTATAAATAAATAGTGTTGGGAAAATAATTTTTTTATTAATGAATTAATTAGTTTAATTTTTTTCACAAATGATTGTAGTTTTGTAATAATCATTTCTAATCATTTAAATATAGTTTAGGTGGTATTTGAGATAATGGTAAACAAATAGAGATAAATTATTAAAATATTTATTATAAAAATAATTTTATGGTGTAAAAACGGTTTTTAAGAATATTTAATTTATTAATAAATTGAAAAATCAAATGTTGGTAGAAATAGAGAAAAAAATAATTAAGAATTGATAATAATTGCTAAGAAATAATTAAAAATTAATTTGATATATTTTAAATAAAAATGAGACGAGATAAAAAAATTGTTAGATATATTGAGAGAGAGTTGAGTAACGTGAGAAGGAGACGACTTATGAGAGAGAGGGAAAATGTTTTTCTCTTTTATAACTTAGAAAACATTTTTAAAAAAATACTCTATCATTTTTCGTTAAATAAAAATCATTTTCTGTTAATTTTTTTTCTAAATAAAAACAAACAAAAAAAAGGAGACTTATTTTCCTCCAAACAAATACGAGTCTTAGATAAAAATCATTTAGAGAAGAAACTTAGTTTCAATCAAACACTAATTTCTTTCTCTTAATGATTTTAATGATGTAAATTCCACATTAGTTTGATACATTCAGAAAAAAAAAAAAAATTAATTCTCTTAAACATTGACTCTAAAATTAATCTAAATTCAAAAAATTAAAAAAAAAATAACATACTCTTCAATTAGACCAAATACTTGCAATTACGTTATCATTTTTATAAATGCTACAGAGATATTTGGTTTGGCTTATTAAATGGCCACTAGCAATACTATTCTACGACATGGTGCAATTACTTCCAACTTACTTAGTTTGTTATGTGTACTGCCTTCATGGTGATTCCAAGCTTTAATTTTCACCAAAACCTAACCATACTAATGGCCTATATGCATATCTTTACCTGATATGATAGAGACAAGTCGAAGGAAAGTTTTATGAGATTGCACCAATATTAAAAAACTACCAAGAATTTCTCTTGAACTTCCAGTCTCATGAAGGTGGTAGATGTATATGCTATTAAGGTTCATGAAGGTAGACAAATGAATAATACCAGGCTACCAACATTAATTAAATTGTTTCTTATAACTTTAGAGTAAATTATAACTAGTGCCTCTATATTTTTTAGAAATAAATAAATTAATCATTTAAAAAAAAAACTAATTATTTAGTTTTCTGATCCGTTTTGGTTATGCTTAATTAATTTAATATTATTTTATTTCAAAAAATGTCATTTTTCTCATCGATTTTTTTATTTTTTTACTTTTTTTTATTTCTATTTCTTAAATAAATCAAACTAAATTAAATTGAAAAGGATGGGAAAAATTAAGGTACGAGAAAATTTAAAAATATAGAGACTTAATAATTAATTTTTAAAACAAAAAAACTAATTAATTGATTTTTTTTTTTTGAAATAAAGGGACTAATTTATAATTTAATATATAACTTCATGATCAGGTGGTTCGATCTGTGACACCTGATAACGCTCTCATTTACTATTGCATTTAAAAAATTTAGCAAATGGCCCCGATTGCTTAAATTGTTTGTTTGTTTGTTTATTTTATTTTTATTTTTTTTAAGGATTTCATATCATACTTTCAAATTGGGTATTCAGCATATTATTATATCTACTAGTGTCGTCATATTAATGGATTTATGAAATTTCTTTCTTCCATTCTATTCTAAATTTTGAACTTTAAATCATGAAGATATAATCTGTGAATCCAGTTATCATTAGATTTTTTTTTTAATATTTATAGGTAATAAAGTATTTTCTGTTAGTTTTTATATTAATAGAAATTAAATTCATCACTTGTTTGACTAAACTAAAGTCTAAACATATTTAGTCTTTAGTCGGTTACTAGATTGCTTTTTAAGTGAAAGCAACCAAAATATGATATTATTAAGAATAATTATGATCAGTTATTTGTAAATAATAAAAATTGAATCTTATTTTTGTCAAAACAAAATAATTTTTTTATCATTAAAAAATAATTATTACTAATTATTTTGTTACAATTAGATTAACTTTAAAAGCATGCTAGAACTAAATTTACTCATTCTATCTTCCTATTCAAAAGGAAGTTATTCTTTTTCTTTTTTCTTTTTTTTCTTTTAATTTATAGGTCATAATATATGTGTACTTGTTTTCACAGTGCAAAAATGATCCTTTTTAGGTTAGGTTTTAAGTATCCCACCAATATCCAAGTACGCACATTCCTAAAAGAAAAAACAAACATCCTGAGTACTTGCTATTTCCAAGCCAGGCTAGTCTGAAGAGGACTAGCTAGCTTTGTGTTCTTTCAGCAGAGTAGAGGGACAGACATTCCTAAAAGAATAACCTTTTTCTTCTTCTTCTTCTTCTTCTTCTTCTTTGGTACGACTGTAACCCAGAGGGTGAGTGTCAATGTTAATAAGTATGTTCATATTTATTGATATGTACCAAAATCTAAAAAGATTTAAATTGTGAAATCACTTTAAAGAGAAAGCTAGAAGAATGAATGAACCATCAACCATGTGAAAATTGTTAAATGGTTTCTTGGTAAATGAAATCTCTTTCATCATTCATCATAAAATCTTGCTTGATTTTCAATAATGTTCTTGAAGTCTAACAATGCTAGGCTTGTGTGTATGTTGATCCGATGGTAAGAACATTCTTGGATTAATTTGTCTTTAAATTGAGATTAAATCTATTTTCGAACATTTTGAAAATGTATCCCTTGTATCAATTTATTATATTAAGAAAAAATTAATAAATTTGTCTAAATTCTAACATCAAAATTGAACCTAAAAAGTTGAAAAAGAAAATAAACCTTTTAACTATCGAGTCATCCCTTTGGGATTCGTATGTTTATACATATATACTTACTTTTACATACAAGCATTTTTCTTTTTTATCGTCTAAATAAAAGAGGCATCTCAATAGGCAGATATAGTGGCTAAAAAAATTTGCACTCACCCTTGATTTATTGATTTCAAATTTAGAAAAAAATATCTTTCTTGAATGCAAAAATTAATAAGAAGTGTCTTAAAATTGCTTAAGGAGGAGATTAAGTATCTCTAGAACTCTAGAAAATAGCTACCCCTCTCTACTCCAGCCACTTAAATCGAATCACTTGTATTGATTGACAATCATATTAAATTTGATATGTTTTATATTTTTAAAGAAATATGATATAAAATACTTTCTCTATTATAAAGGAATTATCTTGTTTTATATTTTTATTCATTTCAAAATGTTTTACTAGGTCAAAATATTAAATATGTATTATCATACAATATTTCTAATTAAAATCTATTTAATAAGAGATCTACTACTAAAATGAGGATATTTTAAAAGACTATGAATACAAAAAGATAATATTACATAATAATTAATAACTTTCTTAATAAGTTAGATATGACAATTTTTTAGAAACAAAGAAAATGTTAGAAATGAAAAATTCCATGCACCATTTTTTTATTTTCTTCTTATTTTTCCCTTGCCCATACATATATATTTTATTGATTAGATGGCAACATAGTTAAAAGAGATTTGATTCCCCATAATTAGATTAAAAAAATGCTATCCATTTTGGGATTGGGAGAATAATGGAAATTTTATATGGGTTAGAGAATTAATGAGAATTTCAGTTTGAGATTTGAATCTAGTTATCTCTTTCAAAAAATCAGACCAATTCCATCGGATTCAAACACTATATTTTCTAAGCTGAATTAGGCTAGTTTCTTCCAATTTTTTTGATAAATTATTAGTTGTGCCTGCACATAAATGGGACGTGAGCCATGCAAACATAAAAAAAAAAAAAAAAAAAAAAAAAAAAAAAAATGAGTTGATAAAGAAAAAGAAATCATAAAAGTGACATCTCCTGTGTGATGGAGATGACTTCTTGAGTCATGGCAACTTGTAATGGGCAGACAATCATACTTTGAATAATTTTTTAATTATATTGTTGAGATTTGGGCAGTTTCTTCCAATTTTTTTTAATATTTTTTTTTTCAAAAACTTGCCACGTATGAAATAGATTAGGCATGCAACTTCTCAAAATTGAGTATTAAATCTAGATTTATTGAGTCCTAATTAAGATCTCAAATCTCTCTCTTACTATCTATCTTTTAAAATAAAATATTATAAATAGATAAAATCTAAATTTAATCACGTACAAGTGACATGATATATTTTTATTTGTTTTATTATTAAAAATATCACAAAAATGATAGATTAGATCCAAAAGAATTTTTTAAATGTAGATTAGATAATCCTAGATAATTGGTTTGAATGGAATGAATTTTAGTTATTTAAGCAATTAATCTCTAATTTGAGTTTTTGTATATATAAATTTTTTTTAAAATAACTGTTTTCGTTTTATACTACGTTTGAGAAAGCAGTTAATAAAAGAATAACCTTTTTCTTCTTCTTCTTCTTCTTCTTCTTTGGTACGACTGTAACCCAGAGGGTGAGTGTCAATGTTAATAAGTATGTTCATATTTATTGATATGTACCAAAATCTAAAAAGATTTAAATTGTGAAATCACTTTAAAGAGAAAGCTGGAAGAATGAATGAACCATCAACCATGTGGAAATTGTTAAATGGTTTCTTGGTAAATGAAATCTCTTTCATCATTCATCATAAAATCTTGCTTTGATTTTCAATAATGTTCTTGAAGTCTAACAATGCTAGGCTCGTGTGTATGTTGATCCGATGGTAAGAACATTCTTGGATTAATTTGTCTTTAAATTGAGATTAAATCTATTTTCGAACATTTTAAAAATGTCTCTTGTATCAATTTATTATATTAAGAAAAATTTAATAAATTCCTCTAAATGCTAATTTTTATACATATATACTTACTTTTACATACAAGCATTTTTCTTCGTTATCATCTAAATAAAAGAGGTATCTCAATAGGCAGATCTAGTCGCTAAAAAAATTTGCTCTCACCCTTGATTTGTTGATTTCAAATTTAGAGTCCAATATCTAGAAAAAATTATTTTTATATTTTTAAAGAAATATGATATAAAATACTTTCTCTATTATAAAGGAATTATCTTGTTTTATATTTTTATTCATTTCAAAATGTTTTACTAGGTCAAAATATTAAATATGTATTATCATACAATATTTCTAATTAAAATCTATTTAATAAGAGATCTACTACTAAAATGAGGATATTTTAAAAGACTATGAATACAAAAAGATAATATTACATAATAATTAATAACTTTCTTAATAAGTTAGATATGACAATGTTTTAGAAACAAAGAAAATGTTAGAAATGAAAAATTCCATGCACCATTTTTTTATTTTCTTCTTATTTTTCCCTTGCCCATACATATATATTTCATTGATTAGATGGCAACATAGTTAAAAGAGGATTTGATTCCCCATAATTAGATTAAAAAAATGCTATCCATTTTGGGATTAGGAGAATAATGCAAATTTTATACGGGTTAGAGAATTAATGAGAATTTTAGTTTGAGATTTGAATCTAGTTGCCTCTTTAAAAAATCAGACCAATTCCATCAGATTCAAACACTATATTTTCTAAGCTGAATTAGGCTAGTTTCTTCCAATTTTTTTTGATAAATTATTAGTTGTGGCTACACATAAATAGGACGTGATGCCATGCAAACATAAAAAAGATGAGTTGATAAAGAAAAAGAAATCATAAAAGTGACATCTCCTGTGTGATGGAGATGACTTCTTGAGTAAATGGCAACTTGTAATGGGCAGACAATCATACTTTGAATAATTTTTTAATTATATTGATGAGATTTGGGCAGTTTCTTCCTTTTTTTTTTGATTTTGTTTTTCAAAAGCCTGCCACGTATTAAATAGATTACGCATGCAACTTATCAAAATTGAGTATTAAATATTGATTTAGGATTTTATTTGTTTCATTAGTGAAAATCTAGCAAAAATGATAGACTAGATCCAAAACAACTTTCGACAGATAGATTAGATAATTCAAGATGATTGATTTGAATGGAAAAGACTTTAATCATTTAAGTAAGTAGTTTCGAATTTGAATTTTTTTCTATATAAAAAATTCTCTAGATAGCTATTATCGTTTTATGTATCCAACAAAACATTTAATAATTAGTCTAAGTTTTTAGATTTGACTACATCAGACAATAAAATATATATATATATATATATATATATATATATATATATATATATATATATATATATATATATATATATATATATATATTCGACACAATTAATCATACAAGATTAGATTAGATATAATTCCTAAAATATAATAACATATGGAGTTATTTTCCCAACATAAAAATTTTCAATCATTTTTCAAAAAAAAATAAAATTTCATTTATATCAATTATCACGATAAATAATATGTTGATTTATGGACGATCACATCAAATTTAATGCTGATTTATACTTATTATACTAACGAAAAAACAGAAAAGAAAACAAACGCACACGTTATGTATAAAGGAAACGACAATCCCCTGGCCAAGAACAAGAGCTTGGAAACTCGAGCCTGTTATGTTTTTGGTTCGTTCTTATAACTGACCGTCTTTTCCATCTCTTCTAAACTGAACTAAATTTCTCCCTTTCTTCTTTTCTTTGGTTTTCAAATGGAGTCAATGACATCATTTTATAAGACCAAGAAATGAACTGCACACGTGGGACCCACAACACTGGCAACTCCCGCCGCCGGAGGAAAACCACCGTCTCCGGTCGCCGGAAGTATGGGACCCCCACACCAACCCCTTTTTTGCATTGGAAGTTTCTTCAAGACGATAGCAAGAGCAGACATTCCGCTGCCTCCGGAAGTGGTGGCAGCGGAGGCAGCGGAGGAGCGGCGGGCGGACAAAGAGGTGGTGATGGTGTTGGTGGTTGTGGGGTTGCAGTGTCGGCTAGGACGCTCGCCGCTGGGCTGTGGAAGCTGGGCTTTGTTGGTGGTGGTGGAGGTGATAAAGGTTTGAACTTGAAATATGTAAAAACTGATGAATTGGGGTTAGAGGTAGGTTTTTATTTATGTTTTGATTTAGATTGTGAAAGAATTAATTTGTGGTTTTTAATTTGAATGCATGTTTGGTCGCTGAGAAAGTTAACTTATTTTCTGGGAAATTAATACAAGCAATCCTTTTGTTTTGTTGTTTGGCTGGCATAGTTTATTTTTCCTCATGATAGAGACTTGACAGATAGCAGTCGTTGTATTGAGGATTCAGGAGACAAATGCAATGCAATGGGCCATATGTTTGCTTGTTTTCTTATAATTGTCTCTTTACTTTTATTTTTCTTCATGGGCTGTTATTGGTTTGTCTTGGCTGTAGATTGCTAAAGAGATCAGAATTTGTCTATCTTTCTTACTTTTTTTAACTCAACAATGAAAATTTACCATGATATCAAATGCAAGATCGCAAATTTTTATCTATATGCAGTCAGTTAGTACTCGAAAGAACTGCTGAAATGAATTTTGCTGCTAAAATCATGATAAGATGCAGGAAAAAAAAATGAACTTGTCTGATTATTTTTCTAGTGCATGTGGGGTGATTAAAATTCATCTGAGCAACGACCGAACTCAAAAAAAAAATTTGGTTTCTAATAGTTTGCCTTTGTGCACTCTCGTTGCCTTTTCTTGGATATTTGGCTTGTTTTATCGAATTCAAAATCAACGGTAGTGCTTAAATCTAATTGAGCTTCAATAATGTAATGTTTTATTGGTTTCATGCGGATCCGTTCTTGTTCTATTTGAATGTCTTTTCACATTTTGTTACCATAACAATTTTGAGACTTTGGAATGATGCCATGTGCTTTTACTTGCAGCCTGATGTTGGGCAGGTAAATACTGTGTTTCCCTCCCATCACATAAGCAGTGAGCATGGTGCGGAAAAAATGGATCTTTTACAGACCCCAGAATTTGTGTCCAATTTAAAGCATGGGATCCTATGCAAAGTATGCATTCTTTACCTTGAATATCATTTTTTTTAACTGTTTCCTTGCTGAACCATAAGCTTTCTCAATAGGGTAGTTTGGACCCGTTAAAAATGTCGGAATACATATATGCTGGACAACTTTTTCTAGATCATAAGTAGGATATTCATGGGTTGATTAGATTGAACTTTGTCATAGTATGCCTTTACCATTTCTCGTCTCATCTTCATGTTGTTGTATTTATGACATCTGATCCAAAGAATCGACCGAGAGGTCTTTTTAATTTTAATTTTTTTTTGTTCTTTCAATTAATGACTTGCTTGGTAACCATAATCTATGATGTTGTTTCGGGTTTTATCATTTAATTCCCGGTCTGGGGAAGTCGGTTTTGGTATCTGTTTGTGTTCTTTATCATCTTCTTTTTTCTTTTTTTTTTCACTTTTGTTTTGTTAGATCAAATCCCCATTACTTTATCCTAAGCATATCATGGAGGGTGCAACGAAGTGGGATCCGAGATGCTCAAGAATATCCAATGACATCTGCTGCTTGTGTAGCCATCCGAAACTTCTTGAAAATCGAGTTGCTATAGTGTCTACTTCTGCCATGCAAGCGGAACTAGTGCAAGCTCGATTATGCATTCATGACCTTGAAGCTGAGTGCCAGTCTTCTAAGAAGAAAGTCAACCACTTAGTGAAGAAGATGGGAGAAGAAAGAACCTCATGGCAGAGCAGCGAACATGAGAAAATTCGTGCAGTTATAAATGATTTTGACAATCAATTAAGGAGGGAGAGAAAAAAAGGTAAAACACTGGAAATTCTCAATTCTAAATTGGTCAATGAGTTGACAAATGTCAAATCATGTGCTAAGCAGTTCAGGAAAGACTACGAGGAAGAAAAAAGAGCCAGGGAAATAATGGAGGAAGTTTGCAATGAACTTGCCAATAAAGTTGCGGAAGATAAAGCTGAAGTTGAAATATTCAAGGCTGAGTCCATCAAGATTCAGGAAGAAATGGAAGAGGAGAGGAAGATGTTGCAGATGGCTGAGGTTTGGCGCGAAGAGCGTGTCCAGATGAAGCTGATTGATGCAAAATTGGCCCTTGAAGACAGGTATTGCCAAATGAACAAATTAATAACAGACCTTGAAACTTTTATAAGTTCAAGAAGTTCAACCTTGGATTTGATGGGTTTGAGGAAAGCCGAGTTGATCAGACAAGCAGCTAAATTGATAAATGTTAAAGACATCAAGGAATTTTATGCACCACCAAAATCAAGTGATATATACTCTATTTATGAAGAACTCAAGAAAATTGAAGCCAACGAAAGGGAGATTAAAGAATGCAATAAAAGCAGCCCTGCAAGCAATGCTTCCAAACTCCAGCTTGCCAGTTCTGATTTTAATGACTATAACGACCATTCTTTGCAGCAAGGATCGACTATTATCAATGACTATAACTGTCATTTAGAAGAGGATGCAAGAGGCTATGACTCTGCCAGTCATGCTGAGGGTCAAGATTCAAGCTATTCCCATGAAGGGAATCAACTCTCCGTTAACAGGCTTAGCCAAAGCAAAAATGCTTGGCAGATTTCAAGAGAATATGATGAGAATGAAGCTAATTCTCAAGGCGCGCAAAGAAGTGAGGTCTACTCGGCATCAGAAGAATCAATGCATAAGGCACCTTCCATATCTAAGCTTTCAAAATCTGGCGAATGTAAGAACAAATGCTATGAGATAACCGCAGATGACAGTGATGGAATGGTCTTCAATGGAAATTTTTCTAACAAGGAGACCTCTCCACGAAGAAAGTCATGGGACGGTAGGCTTCGGCAGCAAGATTCTGTTGAGCAGTGGAGCTCGCCAGAGTTGGTGAATCCACATGTTACTCGAGGAATAAAAGAGCGCATTAAATGGCCACGAGGCATTCAAAAGAATACCTTGAAGGCCAAGCTTTTGGAAGCAAGGATGGAAAGCCAGAAAGCTCAGTTGCACAGTATTCTAAAGCAGAAGACTTAGGTTAAGTACTTTCTCAAAAGTTTGTTGTTTGAGCAGTTCTAACCAGAAGAACAACGTGACTGTCAGCCCCAGAGCCTCGTTGATACCTGAGTTTTGTAGATTCTGTCGTTGACCTTCTTGCATTCTTGTATCAATGGTCGTTTTCAGCCCTGGTAATATATTCTCTACATCACTTTCCAAATTACCATGTATCATGAATGAATTATTTGCCCTTATAGGATTCTGCTTGCTTTCGTACAAGTCGTTAGAAATAGAGCACAGTATACTCGGATACTCTTGCCGTGTAGTCGGTTTAATACTCGATGAAAATCTATAAATCCATTTTTCACAAAATGAGCTTCATTCTCTTCCTTCTACTGTCTTGATTCATCTTAATCCTGTTGTAGAATAGGGCTGTGTTTGTTTGGGTTTTTTCTATTTTTCTAGTGTTTGTTTCACTTTTAGGAAAAAAGTCAATAGAAAATTATGGAGTATTTTTTAAAAAATATTTTTCCAGTTTCAAAAGAGGAAAACATTTTTCTTCTCACGAGTTGTCTTGCTCTCACGTAACTTACCTCTCTCTATATATTTTAACAATTTTTTTCTCTATTTTTTATTTAAAATATATCAGATTAATTTTTAATTATTCCTTGTCAATTATTATTAATTATTTAATTATTTTTTCTCTATTTTTACTAATATTTGATTTTTTTGATTTATAGATATATTAAATATTCTTAAAAACCACTTTTATACCTTAAAATTATTTTTATAATAAATATTTCAATAATTCATCTCTATTTTTTTTTTTTACTATTATCTCAAACACCACATAAACTATACTTAAATAATTGAAAATGATTATTACAAAAATATAATTTTTTGTAAAAAAAATTAAAATTCATTAATTCATTAATAAATATATTATTTTTTCAACACTATTCATTTGTAATTAAATCAATAATTTGTAATTTTAATCAATTGTAAAATTTCGTTAGTAATTGTAGAGAATAATTAGTTACAAATTATTCCAATATTAATCTTTTGAGACCAAATGAATAATTATCTATAAATTTAATAATTTATAAAACTACTTTTCAAACTAAATTATCAGTTAAATTTCTATAAAAAAAAAAAAATCTTAATTAAGTTACCAAAATAACAATGCTAGGATTACTTATAATTTTTTATTTGTTTTTACTAAATGTGAATATTAACTTGATTTTGTCCTAAGTAATTTTGATAAATTGATTTGATGGTTAAAAAAGTATATTTTATTTTTTGAATTAAAATTTTACAGTTAATATTTAAGAGAATTTATTAAATTTTTCTAAATGTATTTTATATTGTGAATTATGAATATGTTTTTTTGAGGTTTTTTCAAACCTTTTTGATATAACAATCACATATATTTTTGTATTTTAATTTTCTATATTAAACAAACGTTGAAATATATTTTTCAGTAGTTTTTTCATATGATTGCCAAACGGCAGAAAATATGTTTTTGAAAAATAATTTCCTAAAAAATAGATTCCTCGTGAATTAATTTTTTTTTATAGAATTTGTTTTCTTCTAGATTTCTTCTAGACAAACACAGCCTAAAAAACACCAGTTGCTTGCTTCTTTCTTATGACAAGCTCCATTTGATGAAGCTATAAGATGGAAAATCGTGCACCTGTGGCCATACTTCCTTTTCTTTTGTTTCGCATTTTTCATGTGGCTAGTTGCTAAACTTGCACAATTTCATGGAAATTAACATTCCAATGGCAAAATCAAGTCTTTTCCTTTTGTTTTCATGCTGGTGGGGGACAAGATACTGTTGTGTTTGTCAAGTTCTTGCTTTAGGCCCCTTCCCAAGGAAGAACAAATCGATATGTGTGAGATTCTGAAACATCCAGATATAGATAAAACTTGAGATGTTTGGAGATAGTCTTGCCTCTTTTTTTGCACCCCACTTACGTACTTATTCATGCTTGCCGCTGCTTGTCCCCACATTCTCACCTATAAAATTGAAATGTATTATCATGGGAAGCACGATTATTCTTAAAAAAAAAAAAAACCTTTTGATACGTATCATATATGCAGAGATATAGCAAAATAATAAAAATAATGCAACTAAATATAACCTTACTTCAACATTTTTTAATTAATTGTTTCTAGTTTATAAATTTTAAAACAATGAGAATTGATGATATGATAATATTTTTATATGAGATTTATATGAAGTAAAAACTTAAGCATCATAATTTTTTATATAAAATTTTATAATTAGATATGGCATCTAATAAATTATTTATTTTTTTCATAAATGACAAATTATAGAAAGATGAGTAACACTAATTAAACTCAAAAGTGAAAAACTAAATTGTGATTGATCTTGTCTTAATTATTACTATAATCTCTTTTACGATAAATTAATTTTTAGGCATCCAAAATTTATTTATAATTATAAAGAAAATAGAACTAGCATGACATCTATTTATACTTTCATATATTTTTATACGTAATTCGTTATATTGAATTTAAGTATATTTACTTTTATAATAAACTTTTTGTATAATATAGAAATAATTAAAAAATTAACGTGTCTCTCACGTATCGTATCCTAAATCTTTTTAAAATTTTCATATCGTTATTTTTATCTCATGTCGTATCTTTATTTCGTAGTCGTATTCATGCTTTATAGGTATTATTTTTCTTAATTGCAAGAGTATATTCTGAAAATTTTGTTTCTTGAGCTGATTCTCACTCCATAATGGACCTCATTTGAGGCCTGTAGATATGGTATCAACACCAGCTGTTCTAAGGGTGTAGTTGGGCCTATTTATTTCTGCTTGACCCATTTATGATTTGTAACCCATGGATAAGGTCATGGGCCTGATGAGGTGAAGAGAGGGACCCAAAATCTTTTACAATTGAAAATGGTATACCAAAAACTTCTAGGCCCAATGATGAGTTGGAAATCCTTAGCTAGTACCAAAAGAATTTGAGTAAATTATAAATTAGTCTCTCTAGTTTTGAAAAGATAAATTAATTAACCCTTTTTATTTTAAAAACTAATTATTTAACCATTTAGTATATTTATGTTCTTTTCTATTTTTTTAAAATAAATAGAAGAAAATAGATATTATCAAAAAATTGATGAGAAAAAAATATTTTTTGAAATGATATAGTATTAAATTAAACATGATCACCGATAATATGTGAGATTTTCATCTTGAAATTTTATTTATAGGGAGCAACTAAATTTCATTGCTTCTGTTCTAAATAGAATTGGTCATATTTTTAATATAATATGAGGATACCCGAGTGTGTATATTTATATATTTTAGTTTATTGCATCTCTTAATTATATATTTTTTTAACTCAATAAATGCATCAATTGATTAAACAATAAATTATAGTTAGTTTACAATCATGTCATGTTTGTAAACTTACACGTATCCAAAATTTAATTTAAAGAATTGTTTTTTAGTAAAAATAAAAATTATAAATAAGGAAAAATAATTTAAAAATATAAAATAAAAATAATTTTTTTAAGTAAAAGAAAAAATTTTAATTTCTTATTTATAATTTTTTCATTAAAATAATATGTTTTAAAAAATTCTTTTAAATATTTCCCGAAAAATATAAACAAAGAGAAAATATAAACATTTTCTTGAGTAAAATTATAAATAAATAAAAATATTTTTACTAGAAGAAGAAATTTTTTAATGTTTTTTGTGAACTTTTATTTATTTATATTTTTTTTTACTGGAAAAATATTACATCTCTAAATCATACTTTGGATGTGTGTCAATTTAAAAGCAAAACCCGTGTCCTGAACTAATTGTGACTTGTTATTTGGTTATATATAATCAAAATAACAGTAATAATATAGAAATATGTTTGGAGATGAATCAAATAAAAAGTAAAATAAAAAGACGACAACAGCTACATGATACAAAAATTTACGTGATTGAATAATATATTTATTTCACATCTGCATTAAAAGTTTTTATTAAATTTTTCAATCAATTACAAATATAAAAAATAGTATATATATTTATAATATGAATGATTAAAAATATAATAAAAAAACATTACAAGTCTATCCACTCGGTTAAATGTTCCGTAGATCTTAACAGAATATAATAAATTGATGGCCCATAGGACGCTAAATTGCGAATCACGATGGCCTCGACCTCTATTCCTTAACAAAACACAATAAACTAAACAAAAGGAGACATGTAGAGTAGGGTGGGTCAAGGCTTAAGAGACAAAATGTCGTGGAAAATTGACCGTACACTAATAACCTTAAAAATGTTTTGAAAGAGCATTCTTTTGCAAGAAGAAGGAGCATTGCTTGATTTGATTGAAACTTCAATCAAAATGAGAAAATTACAGACACACGGACAGATAACTGTTAGAAAGAAAGAGATCATTGTCCCATTCTCTTGAATTTAAAAAAAAAAGGACAATTAGTCTTTCCCTGGTTAAATTATAAATTAGTATTTTATTTCAAAAAAACAAAATAATTAGTTTTTATGTTTTTAAATTAATTATTCCACCTTTTAACCTCTGTTTTTATCACGTTTAATTTAATAGTATATTATTCTATTTTATAAAATATCATCTTATTTCATAAATATTTTTAAATTTTTAACTTATTTTTTTATCTCTTAAAACAAAAAATCAAAATAAGTTAAAACAAAAAAAAAGTTATAAGAAAAAATATAGAAACTAAATAATTATTTAAAAAAAATTAAAGGGTTAAAAAAAAGCATGCTTGCATTTGAAGAAAGACTTTTGAGTTGAAAGGAACAAACACATGGAGAATTGAGGATTAGTTGATAATATAATCTTTTAATCATTATGTGTTGGTAGTATTAGTTGCTTTATAATTTTTAGTCAATTTTCAATTTCATTATAAATATTTTTATCCAAAAAGAATATTATTTTTATTATGCATAAATGATTTTGAATTTCATAATATTTGCGATATACTAAATATTGTTAAAGATATAGTGGCTTGAGAAAAT